TTCACTTCTAGTGAACCAGTGGTCGTCCTCGGGTTCCTGATAACCAAATCGGACCTTATACTGTTTTTGTGGACGACCTGTACCTCCTGTTCTGAATACGTCTTCACCTACAATGCCCTCAATGTCATATCTTCCATCTATGTCCGGAGAGATAATGGATCTTTTTTATGGAAACTGTTGACTTGTGACACACGACAACAACTTTGACGCATGGAACACAAGGTAGGTGTGGAGGTGTGCTGGGATCTCTATTGTATATGACGGCCCATCCTCTCTGTCCTTAACCTCTAGAACTGGCCACGGTCCCCTGTACGCCGACAGTAACTTCTGCGAAATGTTTTACTCAGGAGCAAACTCTTTAGACTTGACCCAGACTAGGTCGCCTACTTGAAACTGCGACGGGCGACAGTGCTTGTAAGCTTGCTCTATCATTCGATGTTGGGCTTTCCTGAGGTTCTCAACAATGGTAGCTAACTCCTTCTCGTGTTGTATCACAAACTCCCTAGTACCGGGCGGTAGCCTATGAATCTGGTTCCGGTTAAGTTCTTCAAACGGTCTGCGTGGTCTAAAGGACTTATGCAGCTCATTGGGAATACGACAAGTGGCTAGGTCCACACTGTTATTATATGCACTAGCTACCTTGGGCAACATCTCATCCCGGTTGACTTGATCTGGTCTAATGTACATGCGCAAAACTTGCTGCAAGATCTTATTCATCTGCTCGGTCTGACCGTTAGTCTCTGGGTGACAGCTAAACGACATTAACAACTTTGACCTGTATACTCTCATTAACTCCTGCCAGTTCTAACTTGTAAACCGGGTGTCCCTATTGCTGACTACGGACAATGGGATCCCGTAATCACTAACTCAAAAGTCAAAAAACTTATGAATGACTAACTCTGTACGGGCTTCTGCGAGTAAGGGAACAAAAACAACATATTTGCTAAATCTATCCACTATTACCATGACTTGGCTCTTTCCATGCCTACTTTTGACGCTAGCATCCATGAATTCAATGGATACTGAGTCGCCAGGCTGATCAGGTATGGGCAAGGGGCGCAGAAGACCTAGAGGGGCATGCGTAGTTGTCTTATTCCTCTGACAGACTTTGCAACTGCGAACGTACTCTATGCAGCCAACTTTCATTCCTGGCCAAGTATACGCATGCATCAGATTGGCTAGAGTCTTTTGCCAACCGAAATGTCCCTCGGTGTCGTGGCATTCCCCTAGGATCAAACTACGGATTTCCTCACTATTAGGAACGCACAAACGGTCTACTACATTGGTCTTCTTGAACAGTAATCCCTCTGTAGTGCGGTAATCTGGTTCAATTCCTGGGGCCTCCTTAACTTTCTTGAGAAGGCCACTATAAATAGGGTCTTGCGCATACACCTGTCTTACTTTCTCTTGCAGGTCTCTTCCTATATCCCGATAGTGAACTAGAGCTCCAAAGTAATCTGATCTCCTACTTAGAGCATCCGCAACTACGTCATACTTGCTCTTGACTGGTTTGAGCTCAAAGTCATACTAGTCTATCTCAACGGCCTACCTAGTTAGCTTAGGTGTCATCTTGGCCTGCGTTTTCAGCCATCTAAGGGTCTCGTGGTCTGAATAAACTTTAAAGTGCCTCCCAAGCAGATAATGCTTCCAGTGCTCTAAGGCCTGCCTGAGAGCGAAGAGTTCTCTCTCATAAGTCGAGGTAGCTACTTTCTCTGAAGGCATCCTCCCTGACATAAACTCTATGGGTCTATAGCCATTGTCGTCGTCCTACTGTAATATAGCGACTATACCATACTGACTTGTGTCCGTGGTGACGACAAATGGCAAGGACGGATCTGCCACCTTGAGGACAGGGTCCTCTATCAACGCTCGCTTTAACTTCTTAAGAGCGGATGCACAATCTTTGTCCCATCTCCAGATTGCATCCTTCTTGAGCAACATGCGAAGGGGAGCGGCAATAGTGGAAAAGTTCCTCACGAACTTCCTATAATAATTAGCTAGGCCTAAAAGTGACGACAATTTTGTCATCGTGCAGGGCGTCGGCCAATCTCTAATCGTCGTTATCTTGCTATCCTCAAGCTTAATGCCATCTCCGTCTAAAACGTGGCCCAAGTACAAGACTTGCGTTTTGGCCCACTCGCACTTCTTCGCATTGATCTTGAAGTTAGTCTCTCTCAACTTCTCCAAGACCTACCTCAAATGACCTCGATGCTCTTGGAGGGTCTTACTGAAAACTAATATATCATCTAGGTAGACTACGACGAATCTATCTAACCAAGGCCTAAACACATCATTCATACAACGCTGGAATGTGGTTGGCGCATTGGTCAATCCAACGGGCATCACGATGAATTCATAGTGCCCATATCTAGTCCGGAAGGCAGTCTTATACTAGTCATCAGGATGAACTTCTATCTGATGATATCCAGACTTCAAATCTATCTTTGAGAAATATCTGCAGCCCTGGACCCGATCTAAAAGATCGTCTATCCTGGGCAGCGGCTCAACATTTTTCACTGTAATGGCATTTAGACCCCTCTAATCGAGACACATACGCAACTCTCCCTCCTTTTTGGGGACAAACAATACGGGTGCTCCGAAAGGAGACGAACTGGGCCTAATCCAACCCTTTTCGAGGAGTTCGTCTAACTGCTTACGCAACTCCTCTAACTCCCTTGGGGACATTCTGTAAATCGCACCCTTAGGAGTTATACTGCCAGGCTCTATCTCTATACGGTGCTGGATCGGCCGCGGCACTACTCCTGGCGGCGGCTCTGCTAAGTCTTTATACTCTTCCAACAACTTGGCAATACTTGGGTCTATTGGCTTATCCTCTTTGGGCTCAGTGACAGGCCTCACGTAGGCTACGAAGACCTGCTCTTCTAACTGCTCCTTTCTTACTAATCGCACGAATGCGGGAACACTGAGACAGCAATGTGCCAGAGAGTTATCTACTCCTGACATATGGAACAGACGGGCAGTCTTGACCTCGCCTGATGGACTAGGGAGCCTACACTCATGCTCTCTTAAGTGGAGTGTGGCCCCTGCTGCCTCTCCCTAGTCCATATCTAGGACTATATCAAAAGGGAGGTTGTCCTCTACAAGGAGAGTCAGAGAGTGGAGAACTTTCTCCACCTTGCCATCTTTCTCTAAGCGCAGTTACACCTGAACTCCCTCGACGTAATCCTCAACATGCATCGTGTGGTTGTCTGCGAGGATACTGACTAACGGGTCTTCCAACTTTTGGACTTTCAGCCCTAGCCTCAACTTCGTTAGCGCTTTCCTGCTGATATAACTACGGGTAGCCCCTGTGTCTATGAGGGCCCCTACTCTGCTTCAAAAAACTTATAAATCTACTAACACAAGTTGTCCTTTGCTCTCCTTCTTCATCTTGGCCCAGGCCGGCATCCTCTCCTTCAACTCTTCTGCCAGCCCTGTGAGGGAAGTGCCTAGATAGACTCTAACACGGGCAGTCTCTGGATAGCTAACTAGGCACTGGCCTGCAACCTCTACCATAGGCTCATGTGGTGTGGGAGTTTCCTGGTGGTGCGAGCACACTTCCCCACATGGCCAAATGGTAAGGGCAGTTGCGACCCCTACCGGCAGCTGCCTTTTGACCCCTGGGCAGCAAACCGGGCTTCCCTATACTTTGGACAGTATTTAATAATATGGGGAGGGGCACCGCAATAGATGCACTACCCCTGCTCCATTCGTTGTTGCCACACTCTCTGGTCCAAGCCCAGATCTTCCCAAGGCCGCCCCTGTGGCCAACTTGGGTGCCAACCCTCCTCTCCTTTGAGGTGATCCTCCACCTCTGCGCTGTGGTGATCGACTAGGCCCTGGACGATTCGGCGGGGGACCTTGACCCCTACCTCCCTCTTGGCGGTTCCTTTGGCCGCCAACCCCCTGTGCGCCCCGACCTCGACCACCCATGGCCCGACCCCCTTGGCCCTGGCCTCCTCCTCTACTTTGCGGCCCCCCTCCAGCCGCGACAGCAGCGTAGGTCCTCCCTTGACCCACACTACTGTCCTCCTCCTCAAGCCTTCGTCAGTACCACCCTCATCTAAAGTAAGGATCAGGTGATCCCTTTCCCTGACCTGGCCAGAGATGGTACGACCCTTCCACTTTTCCCCATTATGTAAATCCTTATGCCAGAAAGTGGACACTGACATGGATTTGGCCTCAAATAGGACCACCTCTCTAGTCAACGCGTCATACATGATGGTGGCCTGTTGGGCCTTCTCAAAGAAATGCCCTCGTAAGGGCTCTGGCATGACACGATAGAACAAGTTTAACTAATTGGGTCTCAGTGACCCCGTGGTCTGGGATGGCTTGAGTGCCCTTGCACTCTGCCACTGTCGTGAATGGATCGTTTGTAATTTGTCTGAGGCCCTGACGCCTCGCGTGACGTCACCAAATCTCTCTCTGAGGAGTTTGAGGAATTTGTGCAGAGGGGTGAGTTTGGAATATGCAACCATATTGTTTTCACAATCGGCTGCTCGCGCGAGGGACCTGACAAAACTAGCCGCTTCATCCTTTAACGCATGGAAGGCTGCAAGGACTTGTTCCTCAGGCGCAATGTGTTGAAGATACACGTAAGTGTTAATGCGAGCATCCCAATTATCGAACTTCTCGTCCTTCTTTCCGCCATAAGAATCGGGAAACTTAAGCTTGATAGGCTCTTTTCGGGAATGCCCTTCGATCTCTGCAGCGACCACTACTTTGGCGCCCTCGATGGCGCTTGCGCATAATTTCTATGCGCCCTCCTTTAACTTTCTGACCTCGGTCCCTACATAGGTCATCACGTCTCGCACGAAGTCCCTGAAACTAGACCGGATGGAGTGGAGGGCCATTTCTTGGCCCCTAACAGACTGATGGTGCTCAGTTCAGGCCCTACCTAGGAGCTCAATGCTCCCAAGGATCTTGTCCAACTTAGCCTGAACATCAGGCTGGGCCTCTACTTCCTGTCTACACGTTTGTAAACTCTCCACTTCTCTAGCCATCCGGTTGGCTTCCTCCGTCCTCCTCTTCTTCTCCCTCCCCAGGCGTAACTTCCGGTCCAACCTCTTCTCATTCTCTATTGCCTAGCGTTCTAAGGGATCACTCGTCGCCTCGATCTCCTTAATTGCTGCTTCCTTCTCCTCCTCAGGTATGTATAACATTGCCTCCTCATCTTCTCCCAATGATAAATTAGCCACCCATTCAGATATCCTCTTTTCTACCCACGGGTCATCTTCCTTGGGACCACTGCTCTCTCCTTCCCCCAATCTTCTTCTTCTGAGGGGCTCTTCTTCTGGCTGCTCCTCCTTTTCGACCTCTTCCTCTACCGCCGCCCTCATTCTCTCCTCCTCTTCTTGCTGCAGCCTTTTCATCTCCTCCTCCAACTTCTTTTTCTTCGCCGCTTGCTCCTCTGCTATCATCTTCATCTTTGCCTGTCTAAGGAGCTCCTTCTTCTCTTTCCTCTCTCTCAGGATGGCGGCGGTTTGCTCTTCTTGAGCCTTACTATAGGTCATGGTGCTCTTCCCACTACGAGTGTCAACCATGGTGTCAGGTGCACAACTGGACAACAGTTCCACTCCTCACCACTTAGACTTCTACCCCCTGACTGACACAACCTAAGACTGACTCAATCTAAGGACCACAAAATCCTAATAGGAACCTGTCAACTATGGTCTCTAGCCTGGACCTAAACTAAGGCTGTCACTACAGGACTTGTTGCTGATCAGGAGGCATTTAAGGAGATCCCCCGTAACTCCTCAGGAATTATTTAATGTCTCAGACAGGATGACGCGATCAGCAAGCAGCCTGTTGTGCAGCCCACAACTCAGATTTTGGGCCTACCGTGCCACACCGAGCAGCCCGTCGGTTAGTACCGGTCCTTGGGAGAGATCGTGTCCTCCGGGACAGTGGAGTCGTCAGACACGGCCTTTAGCCCTACTTAGCCCGTGTGGGTTTGGTCAACAAGGCTCTATCCTTCATACACGAAGTTCCTAGCACCTGGACAGAAGAGACTCAATGCAGAAAGAAGAGACAGACAGACTCAGCAAGTACCATAGGGTGAGTGCACATCCATAGGGTGAGGGGATAGGCTGAGGGCTTGGCGAGAATATACCAACTCCAGCTTGGTCAAAGTCGCGGTCAACAGCCCTGGTCAACGCCTTGGTCAACGCTTGGTCAACGCTGGTCAACCTGCCCGTCAACGCTTCAGTCAACCGTGGTCAACACCTTGGTTACTGCCTGAGTCAACACCCAAACCAACTTCGGTCAACCCCCTGGTCAACCTTCAACTCGGCTATGGCTGCCGCCTTCTTCTTCCTCACCACCCTTCTTCTTCTTCCTCCTTTCTTTCTCCTTCCTCGTCTGGTTCTTCTTTCAACCCGGCTATGTCTTCCCTTTTTTCCTTCGTCGTCCCTCCTTCCTCTGCTTCAGCTATGGCTTCTTCCCACTTCTCAGTCTCTCCCTCCTCTCTCGTTCGTCTTCTTTCTTTTTCTCCGTGTCCAAACTCCGCGGCTATGGCCGCCTTATTCTTTCTTGGACCGCACAACCAATCTTGTATC